TCAGTGCCCACGTGCACGTGCTGCTCCTCCACCCACACGGCCCCAAACCCAGCACGTTATCTTGTGGGAAGAACATGCCAAGGGAAGTCATGACCTTGTGCTTCAAGTGCAGCACCGGAGTAGCTTTATCCTGTGTTTCCCTCTTTTCTCAAAATAGTCAACTTGTGTGATGCCAACATCTCCCAGACCGAGACAGCTCGCCGGGGATTTGGGCAGGAGTTGGCACGTGTTACCCCTGGTTTATGTAAGGTCTTGCTGCACTTGCTATTTTTAGCCACATTAATAAAAAGGATTGTTCATCATTATACCGGCTTAGCAGGCACAAATCACAGGCCCAGGCAAATCTTAAGGGGAAGTAAGGTGATTCATTCCACTAATCCCCCACTGCACAAAGTCACAGTAAATCCTGGTTCTAGTAAGTGGGTTGGAGGCTCAGGCCTTTGGGTTCCTCTCTCCACTTGCTTTTTGGGATGTCACATTCCCACTTACTGCTTTTTCTCGGCTAAAAAACACCCCACAAACCCAGAAACACCTCATCAACAGCTGATCACTCTTATCCCATTATCAACACCTGAAGCAGCTGAAATGAGCACCAGCAATAGTCAAACATTCGGAACTTGCAGCCTAAATAAGCTTTTTCACCCTTTCAATAGAAAATCAACAGGACAGATGCTTTGCCCTGGCAGCAGTGCATTGTCCCGGCCAGGTCAGCTGGACAGGGACAGCAGGAGCTGGGATTTGGGATCCCTGCTCCCAGTGGAACCAGAGGCAGCCAGGGACAGGTAGGAGCTGGGCTGGCTCCGGAGGGAGGGCACGGAGGGGAATGTGGAGCACCGGGGTTACTCTGTGCAGAGGGCAGCAACCAGCAGTGCAATTTGCATGGACGCAACTGCTGCCGAGGAATTTTTCAGTGCAATTTGCATGGACACAACTGCTGCTGAGGGATTTTTCAGTGCAGTTTGCATGGACACAACTGCTGCTGAGGGATTTTTCAGTGCAATTGGCATAGACACAACTGCTGCTGAGGAATTTTCCAGTGGAATTTGCATGGACACAACTGCTGCTGAGGAATTTTTCAGTGGAATTTGCATGGACGCAACTGCTGCCGAAGAATTTTTCTCCGCATGAATGAGGGAAGGTCACAGGATCACAGAATATCCTGAGCTGGGAGGGGCACACCAGGATCAGCAAAGTGATGGATTGCTTTCTCCATCCCGATCCATTCTTCCCACCCCCGGAAAGGACGAATTTTCAGTGCGAAGGACAGATGTAGTGGGTCACAAGGAGAATAAAAGTTCTTGGAATATTCAGGGTATGTCAGGCCTGTGGGGACCTGATAATATTTACTTTGGCATCAGCTCAGAGCGGTGACTGAATGACTTGTGTTGCCTCAAAGACTGTCCTCAGGGACACCCAGGCTGTCCACTCACCCTCCAACTTCCCTGGCATCTCTCATCCCACCTCCCCATGGGATGCCCTGGGGGTAAATCCCTCAGTGTCCCTCAGATCTCCTGTGGCCTTTCCCCCTGGCAGGGCTGTGGGGTCCCTGGGAATACCTTGGGAATACAAAGGGGGTTTCTGGGGAGCCCTTTCACACTGAACCCCACGGCTGTGCCGTCTCACCCGTGGGGATCTTGCTGCTCCAGATCTGCCCCTCCACCTTCCCCACTGCTTTCCAGAGTCAGGATTAAATTAGGATTACATTTCTCAGCCTCTGCAAAACCCCCAGGAGAGGATGAAACGTGGGATTAACAGCTCTGGGCAACAATCTGGGGAAATCTGCTGGTTGCTTAAAGATCTTGACCGGGTAATATGGAGATTTTGGGAAATTAGGAGTTTGAAGTGCTGTTTGTAGCAGCCTGTGCTGAGCTTATAGGGCTAAACCACCCCTAATCCCTCGGATTCCTGAGTCCATGTAAAGAGCTGGAAGGTGCCGCAGGAGTCTCTCTATTTTTCTCCCAGAAGTACAGTTTCTGTGGGATATTGTATTTCCCTGGATGGTGGCTGGGAGCACTTAGGGTCTCCTGGGGAGGCACAGGAGGGTCCAATTCGGTCAAAAATTAGGGGGTTGGGGTAAATTAGTTTCTGAGAAGGATCCTGCTGAGTTCTGGATGTCTTGAATTACCATCCCTTGTTTCTGCCTCAGGGAATTTTTCCCTGTGGCAGCATTTCCAAAGAATCCCAGTGAATCCCAGAATGGTCTGGGTTGGAAGGGACCTTTACACATCATCTCTTCCATCGCCCTGCCGTGGGCAGGGACATCTCTGGAAGTGTTCCAGGCCAGGCTGCACGGGCCTTGGAGCAACTCGATCCTGTGGAAGGTGTCCCTGTCCGTGGCAGAGGGTGGGAATGAGCTGATCCTTAAAATCCTGTCCAGCCCAAACCACTCGGGGATTCTGTGGCTCTCTGGCCTGAGCCCATCCCTGATCCAGGAATGAGGGAACTACAACTGGTTAGAGCCCCACGTGCCTCACTCCCCGTGGGGGGAGTGTAACACATTCCCGATCCAGCAACAGTAACAAACAACACAATTCCCTGCCCTCGCTCCCGAGGGAGTTGTGCCGCTGGTTCGGGCTGGGAGCGCAGCAGGAGGGGTTAAGGTGCGTGGGCCGGAGCAGGGATGCGGGAGCAGCTGGATGCCAGCGGGCCATGCATCTTGATTAGGGCCGTCCTGCCGGCTGGGAGGGAGCGGGAAGGACGCGGCAATTACTGCAGTCCCCGTCCCAGGCACAGGTGTGGTGTGCCAGGAACGCTGCCCGGGCTCCCGAGATGGATGGAAATCATTACACTGTGTGTAGTCAGCACAACGACGCCGCTGCCGCGGGAGCTGCTGACGGTCCCTCCGGCGGGGAACGCGGACCAGGAGCTGCAGGAAAACCAAGGGCACTGCTTAATAAATCTGTTACCCGGGAGCTGAAGGGAAGCTTTATATTTGATGACAGTTCTCAAGCCTTTTCCAACCCAAACCTTTCTGTGACTCGATGGTGAGACCTTCTCCACCAGGTCCTGAGGGAAAGTTAGGAGGGATAAGTAGAAGGTGGGAATTTAGAATGAGTCAGTTAAATGAAGCCATTGTAGAAACAGTTCCATTTAATGTAAGCAAATGTACTGACATCAGTGGCATTAGTGGGAAATAACTCGATGTTTGTTCTGAGGGTTAAAGTGACTGAAAGCCATTCTCGTGTTGGTCAGACACTCCCTCCAGCAAACACTGTGCTTTGGGACATTACCACTTCACAAAGCACATTCCCACAGTTTTGCTGCTGTTTGGATCTCTGTACTCTTTCTTCTTTGTTATTCCTGAGGCTGCCCATCACCTGGCAGTGTGGATGAGTGTGGATGAGTGTGGAAGAGTGTGGATAAGTATGGATGTGCCAGAGGCTGGGGCTTGGTGCTGGGCACTGCTGTGGAAAACTGGTGTTTCCAGGTGTTCAGGAGCTCCTTGGCACCTGTTATGATGGACTCACAGGTCAGGACACCTCCAATTACCTTACTGCAAAGCCCCAAATCTGTATTTTATTCAGCAGCCAAAAGAAAACTCCCCCCCGATACAGAATTACAGAAAGGAGCATTAGACTCATAGAAAACAGCAACTATTGTGCTTTTCCTCGCACAGTTCTCAAAGATTTAATTTATATTTCTGATGATGAGTGAAATTTTTTTGCTTAAAAAAAAAATTAATCATCTGTCAATGCTGCATATTTAAATTCTCTATTCACTAATGTTTAATAATGCCATTATATAATAATGCATTAAGGAGGGAAAATAAGCCAACCCACTTCATTTTGCTTTGGTCTGCCTGGAGGACTGGCACTTGAATCCTCCAGATGAAAGGCTAATACTTTTATCCCTTAAACTACTCCGTCAGCCCCCAAAACTAAAGGACTTAGAGGAGAATAATTGGCTCTTTAGAGGAGGAGAGCAGAACAATGTCCTCCTGCCTCTCAAGCTCCCGCGCATCTGTCCCTGCGCTCCTCGCTTTGTGCGCACAAATTAAATAATGGCACCGAAAGGATTAGATCACAAAAATATTCTCTCCTTACACTTTGTTCCAAATTAATTTCCAGATGGCTGTTCTCTCGTGCTCCAGCTGAGGGGCAGAAGATCCCGGGCTGTGTGGACCAGGAGCGGGGCGGGAGGGGAACCGTCGCTCCGTGTTTGTCTGGATTGATTGTCAGGACATCACAAGCTGGTGCCCCTAAAAAAAAAATGAGGACAGGGGTGCATTTGCTTTCCAATACATTAAATTTTCAGAGAGGGAACATGAGAAAATATAGAGCCTTTTTCCTAGCCATGCCCTGAGATGTGCCCAGATCTCTCACCTGGGACGGAGCTCGTGTGCTCCGTGTGGTTCATCCAGGGCACACTCCGGCTTCTGGATGTTGTACCCGGTGTCCCCTCGCCAAGCCCTGAGCCAGGCTCGGTGCCAAGAGGATTTCAGCAAGAATTCAATGTTCACTTGAGCTGAAAACATGCCCGCGCTGTGGCCAGCACAAGGTTACCAACACTCCTGTCCTACTTAAGCCCTATTTTGGGACTGGAAATGTGGCTCTGATGCTCTGCGGGCTGAGTAAGAGCCCTCAGAACACAGGTGAGCTTCGATTCATGGCTCTGGGTGTGTTAGATCTGTTTTTCAGGCTTCTTTTTAAAGTCTGTCCCTGCTCAGGTGCAGAGATCCAGGCAGGGAATTGAGACTCTGCTCAGCACCCGCAGCCCAGGGCTTGTCCTTGTGTTAATCAACTGGCGCATTGCTTGTTTAAATGAAAATATGCTGCATTTTTCCCTTGGGAAACTGGAGTCTTGTGTGCCAACCCAATCCCTGCTGTAAGAGATGGATCCAGTTCCAATCCTTAAGGGAAGTGCAAAGCCCCAAGTGCAGTGTCTGCACGGTGCTGCTTCGCAGACACCCTTACACAAAGAGGAAGGAGCTCAGTTGAGGGACAGGAGCTCCAGCTGCACCACCCAAGATTCTCAAAGGCTTTGGTGACTCCCCAGCAGAGGAAATTTAACTGCCACAGCATTCCCAGGGAAAACATAACTCCAGGAAGGCTCCAGTGCTCCCGAGTCCAGGCTGCAGCTGGACAGGAGTGTGGAGTATGGGATGGCCACGTCCTTCCAGCGCCTGCCCCAGCAGAGACCCTTCCCCAGCCCAGGCTGCCCGGGTCTCCACGACCTTCCTGCTCTGCCCTTGTTTTCCATGAGAGGCAGTCTGGGAGCCGGTGCTGCTCCGGCTCAAATCCAGGTGTGAGAGGGATTTACACCCTCACGAGGGCTGTTTCCATCACCCCCAAAGATAATTAAACTCTGCAGAATTCCAAGCCGATCTTAACCGCTTTTCCCTGCTTTTCCTCCCACTCACATCAGTTTAGCACTCCACTAATTATAGGGAATTTTTTCCCTGTGACTCTTCCTAAGCTCCGAAATGGCCGAGGCCCCAAAGCCAAGGGAGCAGCAGCTCTCCTGTGACACCAAGAGGTCCCGGGGTCTGTGTGTGTCTGGTTTTGCTTCGTGGTTGGATGTGAAATGGAGCTGCTCTTTCTGGCACAAACTTCCCAAACAGGATGCCGGGATAATCCGAAAAGGATGCGTCCCCCGCTCCCCTCGGATGGAGAAACAGGAAACAGGTCGTGAAGGAGCGAGGAATCTTAATGGCTCCCAAATGTCCCCACTCCAGAGGCCCTTCCCACCTGGGCACTGGACATCAGAGGTGTGACCACCAGTGTCCAGGGAGAGCGGGATGCCCCTGGGGGCAGTTCCACCACATCTGCTACAGATGGAGCTCAGTGGGACCTGCTCACACAGTAAAACAGAGCCTAAATTCCCTGATTATTCACTGGGAATCCAGAAATATTCCCAGTCATTTTCTGCTGCTCCTCTGGGGGTCTCTTTATGTTCAGAGACCAAGCCTTGGAGCAGCCTGGGCTGTGGAAGGTGTCCCTGCCCAGAAAATGGTTGGACTGGAGGAGATTTCAGGTCCCTTCCAGCCCAACCCATTCCATGATTCTGTGATTCACAGCGAGCCTGGAGCCCGGAGTCAGCTCTGGGATCCCACCATCCATCCCTCCCCGAGCTCGGCACACGTCCAGCCTGTCCCAGCGCTGCTGGGGACGGGGGAGACATCCCACGGGATACCTGTGTATCCCAGAGGGGTGGAAGCACAGGTGGCTCCTGCTCCCGGGTGTCAGAGCAGCCTTTGTGACAGACCTGTGCCTTTAAATCCAGCCTGTAGCAAATGTAAGCAATATTTTTTCATATTAACAAGAAGTAGAAACTCAGCTCCAAACCCAGATTTCTAGAGGTCTAAATCTGAATTCCCTCTGCTCCAATGCTTCTATAATATCCCTTGATTTCTCCGGCGCAATCTGACGGCATGTGAAAGTCATTCTTATTTTTACCCTCCTTATCCATATGAAAAAGGAAACACAGTCCATTTGCTGCAAGCCCCTAAGCATCTGCTGATTTGTCAGTTTTATTTAGCTAAAAAGCATTCACTTTGCTGCAGAGGGGCCGCTCAGACAGCCTGGCTGGAGAAAATTAGTTCTACTTTACCAGCATGAACTACTCTGATTGTACATTAATTAAGATATGCTTTGCCACATATGATGTGTCCTCCTAGAGATACCGGGCGAGTTGGGCCGTTTGGACAGTGGAAAATTAGTGTGGAAAGGGGTAAAAGGAGGAACCACTGCTACACTTGGAGGATCCCAGGATCCTGGGATCATTTGGGTCAAGGTCTCTCTCGCCTGAGGGGCCCCGAAGTGCCCCCAGCACTGGAGGTGCCTCAGCAGGGCCGGCACAGGGGACAGGCACGTCCCCGTCCTGCTGCCACGGGCACCACCCAGGGGCCACTGCCCTTCTGGGATCATCACTCATCGACCTCCCACCCTTCCCATCTCTCCCCTTCCTCACAGCACAGCTCTGCTCCAAGCTGAGCCGTGGTTTTGGGATGCTCAGCCACTGCTTGCCCATCAGAACAGCTCTGCCCTTGGACAGGGTCTCCCCGCTCCCGGTGCCTGGAGAACAGAACTGTGCTGTGCCTTGGAAGTTTCTAGCAGTGCTCAGCTCCCTGAGCAGCTGCTGGTCCTCCAGGAGACAGCTGGGCTCCTCCAGGCTTGGCTAAGCCAGGCTTGGCTAGTCTTCCTCCTAAAAACCTGGATGAGGAGCCCGTGCTGCTCCCAAGCAGTGACACCAGCGGAGCGTTGCTCGAGGAGCGAGGGGACAGCAACTCCTTGGGGCCTCACTTCCCATCTCATCCACTGTTCCCACAGCAGACACTCACCCTGACCATCCTTTCCTGTTTGAAAAGTGTGACTGCCTCAGAAAACGTCAGTGCCCACTGGCAATAGTGTAGGGAATGTGCGCTCGGGATCAGCTCCCGTAGATCTTTCTCCCATCCTTTCAGCCCTTTGACATCACCCGACTGACCAAAGGGCTCCCAGGGTCTGCTGAGCCATGAGTTACTTGCAAGTGATATAAAAATAGTGCTAAACCCTTTACCACATAAAATAAATAGATATAAAACACATAGGGATTTTTACTTCCTTTTTCATCTGTGCTTTTTAAAGCAAAAAAACCCCGGTATCTGGCCTCTAAGCCTTCAATTAATTGAACAAAGATTTCAAAATTGTTCAATTGGTTTCATTAGGAAGTGTATAATAGAATAATAAAGTAAAACAAATGATATAAAGCAGACCCACTAATTAGCTCTACATGATTGATACAGCTTTGGACGAGGCATTTGATCTCCAACAAAATGCAGTTCCTTGTTAAGAGGATTTTTAATTGATGTGCAGAGAGGTATTAGATGATGTTGGAAAATAATTACTCAAAAGCTACTCATGCATTTGGCTGCACATAACAAATGAAGTTTGGGCTGCGGATCTGGCGGAGTGGACACGTGCTAATTAATAATGAGGGGAACGAGCATCTTCCAGGAGTTTTTAACCCAGTGTTTACGAGGAGATGGCGTCGCAATTATGGGCCATAATGAGGTTGTCATCAACCAAATCCACATTCCTCAGATGGCAGCAGCACTGGGGAGTGGTGCAGCCCCTCTCCTGCGCCATCATTCTGGGCATGGGACTGTGTTAGAAAGCAGGGATGGCTGCTCCCAACTATCCAACTATCCAGCCATCCAGTTATCCAGCTATCCATCTATCCAATTATCCAGCTATCCAGTTATCCAGCTATCCAG